TACTCATCCAGTTTTGACAGGTGTTCCCTCATTTTTTCCAAGCCCAGTCGGCTACTGCCGAAGGGTCTCTTGGCCTCGTAGCTTACTACTACGTTGTTGCTCGCTACTGCTGCCTGCCGGAGGCAGCCCTAGCCTCGGTGGTCTCCTCCGATAGGCCTCCTGGCCTCGTCGCTCCCCCCTGTTGGTTGTCCCTGCCTCGTTGAGCCATTCGACAGCCCTAGCCAATGGACCTAGCCGATGACGTAGCCCACCGTACTTAGCCTCCGTTTGGGAAGTAGGTTGGCTTTTTGGCTTTTTGGCTTTTTGGCTTTTTTAGCCTGGGCTATTTTAGCCTGGTTTGAGAAGGGCTTTTTGGCTTTTTTGACTTTTTTTGTGAGAGAGGATTGTAATGATTATGGATTGGATTTGATGTTTTGTTTTTTGTAGCTAAAGTAGCCTATTTTGTTTTTTGTGGCTATTTTAGCCCCTAACCCACCCAAACCTTCTTGCCAAACACCACCTTAGTGGTCTCCTCCGACAAGCCTCCTGGCCTTCGTCGCTTCCCCCCAAACATCACACGAGATGGACCCCAGACATCAAAATGTATTTTCCTTAGGTACTCTCCTACTCAAAAGAGGTATAAGTGTTACTACCCTCTTTCTCGTAAGTGGTTTGTGTCCATGGATGTCACATTCTTTGAGTCCCAATCCTATTTCTTGTCCTCTCCGGTGTCACAGTCATCCCTTCAGGGGGAGCCTTGGTGTAAAGTGATTCTTGTGATTCCTATGGTGGAACCAGTTGTTCTTGAACCACCACCTCCTATTGGGACTACAGAACCTGATATCACCAAGGATAGGAAAGGGCAAGTTTATGTCAAGAACAAAGACAGACAGATAGAAAGTTAACTAGATACAAGAGACTACTTCTGCTTCTCTACTGCCATCTCCTGCTTCTGATGAGAGTCTAAGTAACTTTGAATCTCTTGAGTCCATTAATCTTGATGTTCCTATTGTCAAGAGAAATGGTGTGAGATATTGTACTCAACATCCTATCTTAAATTTTGTGTCCTACTCCCATTTATAGTGCTCCTATAGAGCGTTTGTGTCAAATATTTCTTCTGTTAGCATTCCTAACCATTTTCAGGATGCTCTTGCTACCTCTGAGTGGAAACTTGCCATGATTGACGAAATGAAAGTACTTAAGAAGAATGGCGCTTGGGAATTGATTGAGTTACCTAAAGGCAAACGACTTGTGGGATGCAAATGGGTGTATACTGTGAAACACAAAGCGGATGGGTCTATTGAGCGTTACAAGGCTAGATTTGTGGCTAGGGCTGCAAGCAAACCGAGCTGTTCATGAACAAGCTCGGCTCGGCTCGTTAAGGGCTCGGCTCGGCTCGACTCGGCTCGTTTATCTTTATTTAAATTATATAATAAATATATTATTTATATATTAAATAATATATAAATATATATATAAATAATAATATAAACACATTTTTTATATATTAAATAATATAAATAATATTTTTTATTTAAATATTTATATTTAAATAATATAAATAATATTAAAAAAAAATTATCGAGCCGAGCTCGAGTTTCATTAAAATTAACGAGCCGAGCCGAGCTCAAGCCCAGTTCCTTATCGAGCTGAGCTCGAGCTCAATAAATGAGCTCGATAAGTAAACTAGCCAAGCTCGAGCTCAGCAAAGCTCAGCTTGGCTCGGTTCGTTTGTAGCCCTACTTGTGACAAAAGGGTTCACTCAAACATATGGCGCTGACTATCAGGAGACCTTTGCACCAGTGGCTAAGATGAATTTAGTCAGAGTACTTCTCTCTCTAGTAGTTAATCTAGACTGGCTACTTCATCAATTTGATGTAAAGAATGCCTTTTTCCATGGTGCCCTCGAAGAAGAGGTATATATGGACATTCCTCCTGGTTTTGAGGATCATAAGACAGATGGTAAAGTATGCAGGCTTCAAAAGTCATTATATGGTCTCAAACAGTCTCCGCGGGTTTGGTTTGAGAGATTCACTCAGGCTATGCTTAAATATGGGTTCAAACAGAGTCAGGAAGATCACACCTTGTTTGTGAAACGTTCCTCATGTGGTAAGACTACAACACTCATTGTTTATGTAGATGACATTGTTCTTACAGGCGATGATAGTGAGGAAATACCTCTGTTGAAGAAATATTTAGGCAGTGAGTTTGAAATCAAAGACTTAGGAAGCTTGAAGTATTTTCTAGGAATTGAAGTTGCTTGCTCCAAGGATGAGATATTTATCTCACAGAGGAAGTATGTGCTTGACTTGTTGAAGGAAACTGGGATGCTTGGCTGCAAGGCCTGTGACACTCCACTGGAATCCAATCAGAAACTGGGAGATAATGAAAGAGGAGCAGCTGTTGATAAGGGGAGCTATTAGCGATTAGTGGGTAAGCTTATTTACGTATCTCACTCCTGTCCTGATATTGTTGTTGCTGTTAGTGTGGTTAGCCAGTTTATGCATGCTCCTCATCAGATTCACTTTGATGCTGTCATGAGAATTTTGAGGTACTTGAAGTCTGCTCCTGGTAAGGGTCTTTATTTTTCAAAGTATGATCATCTTCGTGTGGAAGTCTAAAGTCTATACAAACACTGACTAGGCTGGATCAGTAACTGATAGAATATCGACTTCAGGGTATTGCACCTTTGTTGGGGGTAACCTAGTTACTTGGAGGAATAAGAAACAAAATGTGGTTGTCAGGTCAAGTGCAGAAGCTGAGTTTAGAGCTATGACACAAGGGGTGTGCGAGCTTTTATGGATCAAGTTATTGTTAAGTGATCTAGGTATTGATCAGACATACTCCATGCGGTTATATTGTGATAATAAGGCCGCTATCAACATTGCTCATAATCCGGTTCAACATGACAGGACAAACCATGTTGAGATTGATCGCCATTTCATTAAGAAACTCACTAGTAGCACAATGTGTACTCTCTTTGTGCAGTTTGGTAAACAACTTGTTGACATCCTCACCAAGGGAGTTGGGAGTAAGCCCTTTCATGGCATCTCAGGCAAGCTGAACATGAGAGATATCTTCGCACCAGCTTAAGGTGGAGTCTTAGAATAATATATTATTTTGTAATTATTCTATGCCTTAGGGATCCTTGTAATTATTGATCTTCATTAATATAAATAGCGGATCATATCCTAATCATTCCCTAAGCTTGGTATTCTCTAAATTGAATCAGGATATACCTCTAGGATTCTCATCTCAGTCTACAGTTGGAAATGTTTTTAGATTGAAGAAGGCTTTGTCTGGCTTGGTTTGGTAGATTCCTAAAGGCAATGCTTGGATTTTCGTATAAGCAAAGCAATGCATATTACATCTTGTTTGTCAAACGCAATGTACATAAGGTAACCGTGCTTATTGTATATGTGGATGACATAATTGTGACAGGTAATGATGAGGAGGAGGTGACCTATCTCAAGATGCCGTTAGTTAAGGAGTTTGAGATCAAAGACCTTGGTCCATTGAGGTACTTTCTTGGGATTGAAGTTGCTAGATCTGATAAAGGCATCTTTATTTCTCAAAGGAAGTACATTCTAGATCTTCTTGAGGAAACAGGCATGTTGGGCTGCAGACCAGCTGATTCACCAATTGAGACTAATCATCATCTTTGTGGTGGGGTTGGTGAGCTTGTGGAGAAGGAAATGTACCAAAGACTTGTGGGAAGACTGATATATCTATCTCATACTCGTCCAGATATTGCCTATGTAGTTCGGATAGTGAGTCAGTTTAGGCACGATCCTCGTGCAACTCATTTGGATGCAGTCTATCGTATTTTGAGGTACTTTAAATCTGCCATTGGAAAAGGAATTTTGTTCTCTAATCATGGTCACTTGAGGTTGGAAGCATTCATAGATGCAGATTGGGCAAGCTCTATAGATGATAGACACTCTACCTCCGGTTACTGTGCTTTTGTAAGGGGCAATCTAGTCACGTGGCGTAGTAAGAAGCATGCGGTAGTATCCAAATCTGGTGTTGAAGCTGAATATAGAGCTATGGCACATGGAACATGTGAACTGATGTAGTTTTAATCTTTGTTGAGTGATGTAGGGCTTGACTGCAGTGATCCCATGACTTCGTATTGCGACAACAAGGCTGCCATTAGTATTGCGCACAATCCTGTCCAACACGACTGAACTAAGTATATTGAGATTGACAGACATTTTATTAAGGAGAAGTTGAATAAGGTTGTGATACGTATGCCTTTTGTTAAGTGTGAAGATCAACTGACGGATGTTTTTACTAAAGGTCTTAGTAGTAAAGTCTTTCACCCCACTTGTTGCAAGTTGGGCATAAGAGACATCTTTGCACCAACTTGAGGGGGGAGTGTTAAGTGTTAGGGGTAGTTTGGTCTTTATGTCTTGTTCTTATTATTATAAATAGTTGTGTGTAAGGGGAAAACCCTATGTTTTTTAATCAATATTATATACAGCAGCCGTTTCTCTCTCTCATTCTACAACTTCTTCTCATCTATATATTCAATACATTCAACATAAAACAAAGTAACAGAAAGAAATGTGTGTTTCTCTGTGCATCTATCTTTATGTTGTAGTACAATACAATGAGATTTGTTGACATGTATTTGTTGATTCACAATGAAAACAAGGTTTTTTTTTTTTTTTTTTTTTTTAATATATTCAAAGGGGGGGGGGGGGGCGTGGGGTTCTTTAGTAATCTTACTCTCAAATGTAGCCTATGTTTGTAACATGGCCCCACAATCTGTATGCATCCTTCTCATATTTATAGGTGTTGTGTGGGACGTGCATTATTATAAATGATGACCTTTCTGAATTATTGATTGTTCAGTGCCAAAAAGTACCACTGGTTTGTTTTGTGTAAATATATAATGTTTGTGTAGTTTGTACTAAATTCCTTATGAATTATTTATTAATCAGAAATTTTCTACTTAATGTTCTTTTCATGTGATTGGCCTTAGCCTGTATCCTTAACATTATTTTTCTTGCTGGAAGGCTTTGTCAGAAGGGAATTAAGACAGTCGTCTTATCAGGAGACAGGGAAGAGGCAGTCGCAAGTATAGCCAAGACAGTTGGAATAGGAAGTGAATTTATCCGTGCGTCCTTGACTCCACAGCTGAAATCTGGTGTCATATCAACTCTTCAAGCTTCAGGCCATCATGTGGCAATGGTAATCTTCAATCAACGTATTTATTCCTCTGGAATCATATTTGAACAGAGATAGACAATCTGATTTACTATATATTTGTTGTGTTGGGCATCTTACCCCTTTAAATGTGCTTTGATTCTTTAGTTAATAATTCCATTTTGATCTATCAAGGAGCACCTTTGACAGAGTAGGTTGGCCTGTTAACCGTGGTGTTTCAAATGTAAATGTTTAATGAGCTGCTGCTAGTTGGGTTTTGGGGAATGTTGACACCTCACTTGAGCTTTTATGGAATTTTATAGAGCACTTGACTGCTCGAAGGATGTATATGAATTTACTAAATGGCATTTAGAGTTACCATCTAGACAACAATTACAGAATCTGTAAAGTAACGATCATTGGTTTGGTCACATGATGCCTATTTTTATTTGCTTGTGTGTAGGAAATCTTTAGGGGTATATTTCTTATATTATTAGTTCTACTGCTTGAGCAACCAATTCATTGTTTTCTAGTATTAAACCATCACGACAATTTATATCCAATCCAATTGACATGTTTGGGTACCTTTGAAGGTGGGTGATGGAATTAATGATGCACCCTCTTTGGCCCTTGCTGATGTTGGGATTGCTTTGCAAATTGAAGCTCAAGAAAATGCTGCATCAAACGCAGCATCCATCATACTACTTGGAAACAAACTTTCACAGGTCTGTATTTTTGTTTTCTGCTTTAGTATAAGTAAAAAACAGAGACCATAACAACAAACTTCCCAAGGTTAGGCTAAGTAAATTAAATTGTTGGTTACTTCACATTTACCAAACCAAGGCTTGTGACCCAATCAAATGAGGTCAGCTACACGTTTTTTTCCACTTCATTGTGCTCTGTCAATGGTTATATACTCAGTTAAATTAAATAAATTTATATCATTTGGTGTTAGTTAATCTATTCTCTTAACTTAATCTTCAATTGGAGCTACTCTTGACATTTAACATGTGTATTCATTTTTAATTCTATATTTTCGAGTCTTATCACTCTATACATATTAGCACCTCATCTAGTCACACTCATTTTGTTAATATGTTGTTTCTTATTTGTTCAATCACGTAATATGACAGAAGCGTTTTACTTGAGACAGCCTGCTTTTATTCCATAGGTTACTTCATCTCTAACACCTCCATCCTTGTTAATAATTGAATCTAGGTTACTAAATTATTCACTCTTTGGTATCTCATGATTTTCAATCTACACTTCTTCAATCTGTACTTTTATTATTCCTTGTTAACTCTACTTATTTCAAAACTTTTTTTGACTCAAGTATTTCTTTCCAAATTTTCTAATTTAGTGTTAGTTTCTCTTTTAGTTTCATCTACTAGGATAATATAATTTGTGAACAGTACACCATGGGACTGCATCGACAACATCCCCGATTTACTTCTTTTCATCCTTTGTCCTAATATAAATGATTATGCCTTTTTGTTGACCTTTCATGTTGGTTATTTTACTGTGATTGAAAATTCACTTGTTTCTCCTGCAAATGATCTATTTGTAGTTAAAGTTCCATCGTACATTATTTGTTGCATGAATGTAACCCTTTGTCACTCTCTTATTCTCTAACGACTTAGGCACCCTATTGTAAGCTTGTCCCATTTTCTTTCCTCATCACATTTACCAAAAAGAAAGAAGAAGAATGAGAATGGTAAATGAGAAAGGAATAAGGGTCTGCTTGCTCATGTTTCTGTGTTTAAAATTTTTTTAAATACAAAAGTATGTTTACGCATGTTTTATTTTTGACTTCTGAAAATTGGTTTTCGAAACAAGAATCCAATGGAAAAGGACAATAAGGCCAAGTTTGGCATCTACTAAATAATACAAAAAGTCAAAAATTCATTATCCTATTTAAGTCATATCATCTTATTTAAATCATATCACCTCTCTAACACATCACATCAAACCCAACCCATATAAGCCAATAAGTCAAAAAGTACACTTTTTTAGAACATCCCAAACCAACCTTAAGTATATGTTTTCGCTTTTGAAAATGTGTAGATGAATGGCGCTTATTTCTACTTTAAATCCTTTCAGATAAATATATATATATTCTCTTCTATTTTATAAAATAAAATAATAATAATAATAGAGAACATGTAAAACAATCAATGAGGCCAAAGCCTCTCTCTGTTATTTTAAAATGGTGTACATATTATGGACAACATCCTATGTCACTAAGGGCATGTTGTATTTACTACTACATTGGTGTTTTCAATAGCTTTCCCAGGGCAAAGTTTGCTGAAACATTAAAAAAAAATCTCCGAAACGTTTAATATTATCACCTAGTTTACTGTTATGTCCTCAATTAAGTTGATCTTAAAATTTCAAGTTTTTTTCTCTTTTTTTGCTGTTGTTGAAATAGAGATTATTTAGGACTTAGGAGTCATTTACTCTTCCTTGAAGATTTAATATGTTGCTTCAAGGAAGTAGACCTCTTACAAATTTATGATTTAGAGTAGTCTACATAAACTATTACAATCACTTGATTAAAATGTAGAATATAGTTGTTTTTTAAAAAGCTAATCGCCCTTGATTTAGAAGGATTACCACCCATGTGATCAAATATGTGTGTCCGTGCGTGCATGTGTGCACGTGTCTTCTGTTCCTATTTTGGTTTGTTTTGATTACAATCCATCAGGACTGTATTATATATGTGCCTTGCAGGTAGTAGATGCATTGGATCTTGCACAAGCAACAATGAAGAAAGTTCATCAAAATTTGTCATGGGCAGTAGCATATAATGTTGTGGCCATCCCTATTGCAGCTGGGTTGCTCCTTCCCCAATTCGATTTTGCCATGACACCTTCACTTTCAGGTAAGTAAAATACATTGTTCTTGTAATTGAGATTTTTGTGAAATACTTTAGAGTACATTACAATATTAACCCCTTGGGGTTATGATATTATAAGGACACTCACTCGGCGAATTTTTTTTATATATATATTTTTATATGTTATGTAGATTCATATTACATTCATCCTAAATGAAAATTAACAAACATTAGCATAGTAATATTAATTTAATAAATATAACCACTACATTTAAACAAATTAATAGATCATCCATTCACAAAAAAGTCATAATAAACGATTACAAGAATTAAGACAGGAAGGGAAAAACATTCAACATCCAACAATATTCTTTACAAAAGCACTAAATAAGAGAGGCAAAAGAAAGAAAGGGAAAAAAAAATGTGCAAAAGAAAGAAAAAGGGAAAAAAAAAAAAAAAAAAAAAGTGGGCCCCGCCGTGGCCCCTACAAAAAAATCATTAAATTAAAGGTGTGTCCCCGGCGTGTCCTCGTGTCCCTAGCGTGTCAAACACCGCCATGGCACCCACTGTTTCACCTCTCCTGCCCAATAACCCAATGGCACACTACCTTCAGCAAATCATTACTGCCTCTTGGACCTCCACCCCTTCATCATCATCATCATCATCATCATCTCTCTCTCTCTCTCTCTCTCCACTGAACCACTATCCTTTCGACGCCCCCGCCACCACAACCCATCTCAAATAGCCACCACTACAATATTACCGTCATACTCTACCATTGCTATGGTGATGCCCAACTAGGGTATAGGATGTATGGCATGTGTTAAGTGTTAGGAGTAGTTTGGTCTTTATGTATTATTCTTATTAATATAAATAGTTATGTGAAAGAGGAAACCCTATGCTTTTTGAATTAAGGAATACAGCAGCTCTCTCTCTCTCTCTCTCTCTCTCTTCTTATTCTTTTTCTTCTTCTAATCATCTATACATTCAACATGGTATCAGAGCAATATCTTCCTCCTTGAAGATGATTCCTCTCATTCCTTAGGTATGTCTATAGCAACAACAACAAAAATAAATAAATAAATAAATATCAGTATGCTCGAAATTGAATGGGTATTCACCTTGTAATCTCCTTTTGATGTTTTGGTCCTTCTTGATTGTTTTTTCCAATTTTTTTGATTTTTCATCAATTTTGGATGATTTATCAAAAGTTGTTGTTTAAACCCTTTTTGCTTAGTTTTGTCTCTTCCTCTCCCATCAATGGGAGCCGACTGGACCCCTTAAAGGGTTTACTGTCCTTGGTTTGAGGTATTTTGGCCCTACCTTGGCTTTTTTCTATGTTTTGGATGGGCTGCTTCATTTTTTTGGCTTGTAAGTGATCTGGTTATTGTGTTCTAGGATACTCTTACCCCTTTTTAGCCTTAAAAGATGAGTTGTTATGCTGGTTCAGTGTTTTCTGGATTTGTTTGATATCTTGCTTGTGTTTCTGCACCATCTTTCTCTCATCTCATGGTTGCCAACGAGGGTAAGGGCAAGGAGGAGAGTGGATTGAGTCGTGGTATGACTCTTGGTGATAGTCCATCTCTCCAGATTAGTCCGGTCAAGCTTAATGGTACCAATTGGACTGTACCTTTTTTTCGATTCATTGTGTCTTTCAGGGCTGGCTACGGGGAAAATGATTGGCAGTGATAGAGCACAAAGTGGACTGTACTTTCTGGATGGCATTCCTGCCTCACCTTTGTCCACTTAGGCTCTTCAATGCACTTCTGGCTCCTCCCTTCGTCTCCTTAATCAGTGGCATCGCCGTTTGGAGCATCCTTCCTTCAGCATTTTAGAGAAACTTTTTCCTTTATTAGTTCGTGATTGTCCTAGGAATAACTTTGTTTGTGATGCTTGTGAACTTGCTAAGCATAAACGTACTTGTTATCCAATAATTAATAAAAGAAGTACTTTTCCTTTTATGCTTATTCATACCAATGTGTGAGGTCTATCCCCTTATGGTTTCTACCTCTAGTTATCGGTGGTTTGTTGCATTTATTGATTGTTATTCCCGTGTGACCTGGATTTATTTACTTCGTACTAAAAATGAGGTTTTCTCGTGCTTCAAAATTTTTCATAAAATGGTATCCAATCTCTTCAATGCTACTATCAAAATTTTTAGGAGTGATAATGGGACTGAATATGTTGATGGAGCTTTTAGGGCATACCTCGAGGAGCATGGCATTCTTTATCAGACTAGTTGTGTTGGCACTCCTAAACAGAATGGAGTTGTTGAACGCAAGAATGGCCACCTCCTTGAGGTTGCTCGCTCCCTCTTGTTTACCATGAACGTTCCTAAGTCTTTTTGGGAGGATGTTGTTCTTACCGCGGCTTACCTTATTAATCGTATGCCCTCTAGTGTCCTCCACTCCCAAATTCCTCTTGAGCTTTTTCCTGTGACTTATCCCACTTCTTCCCTTCTGCCTCGGGTTTTTGGTAGTGTCTGTTTTGTTCATCTTCAACCTCGTACTCATGAGAAGCTTAATCCTAAGGCTGTCCGGTGTATCTTTCTTGGTTATTTTGCTACTCAGAAAGGCTACAAATGCTATGACCCTCGCACTCATAAGCTGTATGTTAGTATGGATGTCACCTTCCGTGAATCTGAGTCCTTTTTTTCTTATCCTCCGCTATCTCCTCAGGGGAGAGTGGTATTGATGAGATTGCGGATGAGACGGCATCATATCAGCATGAGTTGTCTTTTTTCCTTCCTAATCAGCAGGCTGTTATTTATGGTGAGGGGGAGCCTAGCAGTTCTGTTGATGAGGAGTCGGATATCGGTGGTTGTTTGGACAGAGCTGATCTTAAGACTTATTCACGGAGTCAAAAAGAGCAGGCTTCTCTTGTGCTACCAAGTCAATCATCATCTCCTATGCCAGTTCCACATCCAGTTTCCACTGACTCTACAGGTAATGATCCTCAACCCATTTCTTCACCTGTTGATGATGGTTCTGTTACTGATGATTTGAGTCTTCCTACTGCTCTCAGAAAGGGGGTTCGAGCCTGTACTTAACACCCTATTTATAAATTTGTGTCATATGATTCGTTATCTTCTCCATATCGTGCTTTTGTTTCGTCTCTTTTTTCTGTGTGTATTCCTCAGGATTGGAAAGAAGCAATCAATGATCCTAAGTGGAAGGTAGCTATGGTTGAAGAGATGCAAGCTTTGAGTAAAAATAACACATGGGAGTCGGTGTCTCTTCCTAATGGGAAAAAACCAGTCGGATGTAAGTGGGTGTTCACCATTAAGCACAATGCAGATAGGACGATTGAACGGTACAAAGCAAGATTAGTGGCCAAGGGATTTACCTAGACATATGGAATAAATTATCAAGAAACTTTTGTCCCGATAGCAAAGATGAATTCCATTCGAGCTATTTTGTCGTGTGTTGCTAATTTGGGATGGTCTTTACATCAACTAGATGTGAAGAATACTTTTCTTCATGGGGATTTGGAGGAGGAGGTATATATGGATGTACCTCCAGGATTCTCATCTCAGACTACAGTTGGATAGGTTTGTAGATTAAAGAAAGCTTTGTACGGTTTGAAACAATTTCCTAGAGCCTGATTTGGTAGATTCCTAAAGGTAATGTTGGGATTTGGGTATCAACAAAGCAATGCGGATCACACCTTGTTTGTCAAACGCAATGTACATAAGGTAACAGTACTTATTGTATATGTGGATGACATAGTTGTGATAGGTAATGATGAGGAGGAGGTGACCCATCTCAAGATGGAGTTAGCCAAGGAGTTTGAGATAAAAGATCTTGGTCCATTGAGATACTTTCTTGGGATTGAAGTTGTCAGATTTGATAAAGGCATCTTCATTTCTCAAAGGAAGTACATTCTAGATCTTCTTGAGGAAATGGGCATGTTGGGTTGCAGACCAGCTGATTCACCGATTGAGACTAATCATCGTCGTTGTAGTGAGGTTGGTGATCCTGTGGAGAAGGAAAGGTACCAAAAACCTATGTTACATGGACTCTTCTAAATGCATGGAGTACCCATGTCAAACAGCTGCCACTTGGGTAAAGGTATAAAATATGCATCGAACAAGTCCAGTTGGACTTACACACAAAGCATGTCTGGTATTTAAGTTCACTAGTAATTGGGCGTAAAACATACTTGTTATGTTCCTTTAGCAACATGGGTGCTTCAAAATGAGAGAAGAGCCAATCCTTAATGCTCTATGCTACATAAAAAATATTTTTAAAAAAAGCCTATCAAATACAAGATATTAAGAAATATGTATTGTTAAAATTGATGTATAAAAAGAAATAGAGAATTGTATTATTGCTGGAAATTTGTGTTAATGCATATAATATGATAGTGGTGTTGGTGGTAGATAGTGGCATGTATAGAATATGATAGTGGTATTGGTGGTAAATAGTGGCATGTATAGAATATGATAGTGGTGTTGGTGGTAGATAATGGCATGTATAGAATATGATAGTGGTGTTGGTGGTAGATAGTGATATGTATAGAATATGATAGTGGTGTTGGTGGTAGATAGTGATATGTATAGAATATGATAGTGGTGTTGGTGGTAGATAGTGATATGTATAGAATATGATAGTGGTGTTGGTGGTAGATAGTGATATGTATAGAATATGATAGTGGTGTTGGTGGTAGATAGTGATATGTATAGAATATGATAGTGGTGTTGGTGGTAGATAGTGATATGTATAGAATATGATAGTGGTGTTGGTGGTAGATAGTGATATGTATAGAATATGATAGTGGTGTTGGTGGTAGATAGTGATATGTATAGAATATGATAGTGGTGTTGGTGGTAGATAGTGATATGTATAGAATATGATAGTGGTGTTGGTGGTAGATAGTGATATGTATAGAATATGATAGTGGTGTTGGTGGTAGATAGTGATATGTATAGAATATGATAGTGGTGTTGGTGGTAGATAGTGATATGTATAGAATATGATAGTGGTGTTGGTGGTAGATAGTGATATGTATAGAATATGATAGTGGTGTTGGTGGTAGATAGTGAT